CACCAGCTCAGCAAGCAGGTGCTTGGGGCGGCCAAGGGGAAGGGGTAGCAAGTTGGGCTCTTTGTCGGCAATTTGTCGGTGGGTCCCTCGGTCCCTCTCGGAGGGAAGGACCTGCTGCCGAATTGCCGCCGAAGAAGAAAGCGGTGCGGTGGAGCTGCCGCCGATCGCGATTGTGGCTTTTTTTCTTATTTTTTCTTTCCGCCAGCCGCTTGGGGCGGCAAAAACCCTGGAGCCGGCTCTGTGTGTCACCAACATCTTCAACTGAGCATGGGGCAGCGGTGACTTTGGGTCTGAAATAAGAGATGTATGACGTAATCAGGTACAGTTGGCAGAAAAAATTTGTCCAAATTCATTCCTGGTGTTACTTCAATAAAGTTAATGGCGTAGCACCAGGATGGAATGAATCTGGCCCAACTGTCTGTGTAAAAGAATCATAGAAATGTAAGTCTGGAAGGGACCTTGAGAAGCCATCAAGTCTAGCCCTCTCTGTTGAAGCAAGACCAAGTAAACCTAGAACATCCCTGGCAGGTGTTTGACTAACTTGTTCTTAAAAACCTCCAATGACAGATTCTACAACCTCCCTTGGAAACCTATTACAGAGTTTAATTACCCTTATAGTAAAAGAGTTTTTCCTACTACCTAATCTTAATCTCCCTTGCTGCAGATTAAGTTCATTATTTCTTGTCCTATCTTCAGTGGACATGGAGAACAATTGATTACAGTCTTCTTTAGCATATTTGAAGACTCTTTTCAATTTCCCCCGAATCTTCTTTTCTCAAGCCTAACCAGGCCCAGTTTTTTTAACCTTTCCTCATAGGTCACATTTTCTAAACCTTTTATCATGTTTGTTGTTGTCCTCGGGACTCTCTCAAGTTTGTCCATATCTTTCCTAAAGTGTGGTACCCAGAATTGGACACAGGACTCCAGCTGAGCCTCACCAGTGCTAAGTAGAGCATGACAATTACTTTCTGTGTCTTACAAACAAATCTCCTGTTAATTCACCTCAGAATGATATTAGCCTTTTTCATAATTTCATCACATTGTTGACTTATTCAATTTTTGATCCACTATAACCCTATATCCTTTTCCACAGTACATAGGGTGACCAGATGTCCTGATTTTATAGGGACAGTCCCAATTTTGGAGTCTTTTTCTTATATAGGCTCCTATTACTCCCCACCCCCTGTCCTGATTTTTCACATTTGCTGTCTGGTCACCCTAACGGTACACCACCTAGCCAGTTATTCCCCATTTTATAGTTGTGCATTTGATTTTTCCTTCCTAAGTGTAGTATTTTGCACTTGTCTATTAAATTTAGTCTTGTTGATTTCAGACCAATTCTCCAATTTGTCAAAGTCATTTTGAATTCTAATTCTGGCATCCAAAGCCTATCAACCCCTCCCAGCTTAGTGTCATCTACAAATTTTATAAGCATACTTTCCACTCCATTATCCAAATAATTAATTAAACTATTGAATAGTACCAGACCCAGACTGATTCCTGTGGGCCTACACTAGATGTGTCCTTCCAGTTTGACAGCAAATGATTGACAACTATTCTTTAGGTATCATATTTCAAACAGTTGTGCACCTACCTTATACTAATTTCATCTAGACCATGTTTCCTTAGTTTGATTATGAGAATGTGTGACTATGTCAAAAGCCGTACTAAAGTCAAGATATATCACATCTACTGCTCCCCCCATCCACTAGGCCAGTAACCTTGTCAAAGAAGAAAATTAGACTTGTTTGATATGATATGTTCTTGACAAATCCATGCTAGCTATTCCTTATTATCCTCTAGGTCTTTACAAATTGATTGCTTAATATTTTTTTCAGCTATCTTTCCAGGAGTAAACTCTTGAAGGAATCCCTGAATGCATATGGGAAATGTAAGGATCCTATAACTTTGTTGCATCCAGTTCTTCATCTGGAATGGATATGGGATAGCTTTCTTTTGACAGTCATCTTTCCAATGCATCTTCATAGTAGCAATGTTAGACCAGGGGACTGGAGGAGACCATCACTGGGTTCTTCCTCCCCCCCATACCCTTCTAATGATTTTCACCTAACTTTGGTTCCAGTTCTGTGAGATACTAATTAACGCACAGAAGCCACTAAGTGCCTTCAACTACTAGAATGTCAACAGCATGTAATTGTTAAGGCTCTTTCCTCAGTTCCTGGCATGGTCTTACTTTGACAAAGTTACCATATGCCAGGAGTTCTGTGTGTCTATTTGAGTCCAACCACTGTTGATTCAGAGGAAATGGTTATGCTAAACTTCAAACCCTTAATCAGGGAAATATATTCAATTTTCTATAGCTTTTCCACTGCTTTTGGGCCAGATACTCAGCTGGGGGACAAATGGGGCTTTGCATCTTTGAGAACTGCTCCACAAATCCTGGAGTTGGGGGGGTGCTGAGTCAACCATCAGGGTAACTTAGAGCAGTGGTTCTCAAAGCCGGACCGCCGCTTGTTCAGGGAAAGCCCCTGGCGGGCCGGTTTGTTTACCTGCTGCATCCGCAGGTTCGGCCGATCGTGGCTCCCACTGGCCGCGGTTCACTGCTCCAGGCCAATGGGGGCTGCGGGAAGATGTTCTAAATTGTGCATGGGTCCAATGCTCTTCCCCCTACAAACAGCTGTTCCACAGATGAGCATTGTCAAAAAACAGTGGTGCTCCAGCCATGCTCCCTTTCCCTGACATGACCTTTATGCTGGAGGCTGGGAGAGGGAATAGGGTAGAGCAGGCTAAGCCAGCTAGGAATTGTCCTTATATTAGAGGAATTGCTACGTAGCTGGTAACACTTACTTTCCAATTGCTTTGCTGGAATAGAATAAGTAGCCTAAATGTAAGCAGGGGAAAGGTCCTGCTATTGTGGGGAACTTTTGTGGTTTATACACTTCCCTGGTGGAATGGGCTAGCAAAAGGACCGGAGTCCTCACTCCCACTCCCTTTACCCACAGGCCTGCCTGACCTGGAGGACTCCCCCTTCCACTATCTTGTGTGGCAGAGTCATCATAACCCCAACAATGCTGGGCCCAGGACTCCTGGGGAGCTCAACCCCCAGCCTTGTCATGGTCACTTAGGGCAGGGGCTTGGGTGTCCCCACTCTGGGGTGCTCTCTCTGCACTGGATGCTTCCCTGGCCCACTGATCATTATGTATAGTTCAGCAAAGAATTTAAAAAATAAGGGGAAAATGGGAAAGGTTAAAGGAACACATATAACCCCACTCTGTGGCTTAGGGACATCACAACCAGCATTCTCTGGAATGTAAGGGCAGTTCACAGTCTGTTCCTCACATGTGCCAGGCTTCCTGCCCAGGCCCTGGCTGTGCTGCAGGGATGCTGCAGGTCGGACACTTGCTCTGGCGGTGGCCACATGCCCTCAGGCTCTAGGTGGCAGGGCCCTTCTTCCCAGCATGTCCCCGGTCCTATTGGGGTTATGATCCCCCTCCAAGTCTGGCCTGCCAGGCCTCTTGGCTGGGCTCATCTCCCTGCGCTGGGTCCTCTGTCCAGGCTCCCCCCTCGCTCTTCCCAGCTGCTCACTGCACCGGGCTCCAGACTGCTCCAGCCAGAGTTACAGCCCCAGCACTACTGCTGCTCTGCCTCCAGCACCACTCTCTGGGTGGCTCCTCTGGCCCTGGCTACCATGGCTCCCAGCGTGGATCTGCTCTCTGGCCAGCATGACTCTGCTCAGCTCAGGCTGCTCCTCTGGCTTTGGCCTGCGCAGCTCTGCTTCCCAGCTCATCCCAGGCACCCCCAGGCTTCTTTCTCCTTAACTCCGCACCACTCTGTCCCAGGCCATTCCAGTTCACAGGGAGGATGGGACCCCTCTGGTCTTCTGACTCCCTCATTAGCCTGCCTGCCCTGTCAATCAGGCTGATCTGGAGTGTTGGCCTCTCCCCATTGCCCCTGAGGACTGTCAGTCTGAGTTTTCCTTTTCTTTTGATACTGGGAGATGGTCAACCAACCCGCCCCCCTCCCCCCAAGTCCCCTTACACTGAGCAGAGGATCTGGCCCATAGAACTTAAAGGGAACTTCTGCTCTGAAATGTGATTCTGTAAAACATGACATCATAGTGTTCCATGTTCATTGTCTCCTGGTTATTTTCATATCAAACATGTTCATTTTACAAGTAAGAAGAGGGTTTTTTGTGAACTACTAGCTCTTGGGATTCAAGCTGGGTTCTTTCCATCTCAAATGACTCCAGTGACCAAAATTACAAACATTTGTTCAGTTTCTTCATTTCAAACTATTTACAGGTGCTTCTTTTATATACACACATATGTGCTTGTGATTGGGCATGGTGTCCACCCCATACCCAAGGCAGAGCAGGTTCAATTAGTTTAATTAACCTGATAGGCTGCACCTGGGGGACAGCCAGGGCTTGAAAGCCGGCTTGAAAGTCTTCTCAGCCTAGCTGAGAAGGAACAGATGGGGCTGGTGTAAAACCAGGAAGTTGGCATTCACTCTGTGGGAGAGGTGTGTTTGGGGTTACAGTGTTTAGTCTGCAGTTACTCCCTGGGCGGAGGGAGTTTGGGCTGGTAAACCCAGAGGGTGGGGCAGAAGACAGAGCAGAGAGGAAGGAAAAAAAGCCCAGGGAAATAGTAACAGTGTTTGGGAGCAGATCATAGTTGCTAGACATAGGGCCCCTGGATTGGAACCTGGAGTGGTGGGTGGACCTGGGTTCCCCTACCAGCTGCTGGGAAAGTAGCACAGCACCTACCTGTGGATTGGAAGACTGTCAAGGAGTGGATGAATACAGCTGATCCAGTGGGACTTTGATACCTTGGAAGGGGAGGACTACATAATGACCTGGCTGGAGGACTGAGTCACAAAAAGGAAATATGTGAAGTCCAAGTGGGCTGTGGTGAGGGTGAGATGACAGAAGTGAGTGTCGGACCTGGAGTGAGCTAATTCCCAGAGCAACCAGGAGGAGGCTATCTCAGCAGTGAGTGTACCCTGTGACACATGCTTTAATATGATACAAGCAAGACAAATTATGAAACTTAATATATTTTCAAAATACATTAAAAGAATGTACAGAAAATTTTTATTTCAAAAGCTCAGTGGTGGTTCTAGCTTTAACAAAGGATAAAGGAATATTATGTGAGCAAAGCTGAATTCTGCCTTGCTTCCGCAGTTTAAACAGGAATAAACATGAAGACCACTCCGTAACCCATGTGAGGGGTAGTAGAACTCAGTAGAACAGTAGAACTCCCATTGACCCAAGGGGAACAGAATCCGGTCCAAAGACATTTACCACAGCTGTTGGAGTGAAATGCTTACTGAGTTTTTTTCACATTTATGATCTCTCCATATTAGGCTTCGGAGCACCTGCCTGTTTAAATAAAAGTGGAAAGTGGTGGTATGGGCCAGCTCATGCCAATGCTGAGCACTTCCTAGAAGGCTAGGAGCACTCAACTCCCAAATCAATACAACTTAAGGCTTCCCAGCACTTTGCTATATGATTGATTTTTAAGACCCTTTCCCCCACATCTAGTACATTAAAGTAATTCGCTCTGTTTGATACTGAGCATGTTTCTGATATGGTGAAAAACTGTATGGCTGGAGCTTAAATTCCTTACCTAAATTGTGTTTGCAAAATGCATATTTTGGATAGAAAATATAAAGTGCTTTAATGTGTGTGATGGGGAACTTACAACATCTAGATATGTTTGCTTGAGTTAACCAATCCCTGAAAAAGAGTGATTGTTTTCACGTGTTGATATTTGGCTCATTCTTGAGGTACTTATTCAACTAACCTTTCATTGACTTCAATGTAAGTTTTCCTTGTGTAAGGACTGCAGAATTTGAGCTATTGAATATGTCTGGGGTTTGCAGAGTTACTGGGCTTGCTTGGAATTGAACTCAGATCACTCAGGCATTCAGGGGCAGATTTTCAAACAGTAGCCTCCAATCTTCTGGAATAAATAGGTGCATTTTTATTCACAATTACTGTCCATAGTTTAGATAATATAAATCTTTAAGTTCCTGATTTCACCAGCATATCAGGCACCTTCATATCTAATTGACCCAAAGTGAAGATATGAAAATTTTTACTGCACTGAATATAGGGACAAACAGACATTTTTTACTTATTAAAATAACAGCTTTAGTATAAATTTAATCCTTTTGTTACCAATTCCTCTTGTAAGAGATGGCTTGAAATTGTGTGGTTTCCATTGCCACCTCTTTTCCACATCCCCCCCGCCCAAGACCATGAGAAATAAACTCACTTTAATCCCTATGTCCGTGGAGGAACACAAGGAATTTGAGGGTCCTGATCTGATCTGCCTATTGTGATAAACAGCAAATATGTCAGATTAAAAAGCAACAGATTGCATACCTTGATAATGGCACTCAGTTATTTCAATACAATGTTTTTGGCAGCTCATGCTGACCAAAATGAAATATTGTCTAACTATTTGCTCTTTGGATTGTTATTTCATTTTTACATTGGGGCGGGGGGGAAAGACACTTATGCCTGAAATTTTGCTCAGCTTTCCTCTAGGTTTACTTTGTTCTTCCTTGCTCAAATGGACAATTATGGAACACTAAATATTGTAGCAAATTAGTGTCAAACCTAGATTTGTATCCTGGTGGTGCAAGCTTCATTCAAAAACAAAAACAGAAAACCACAAAGAAACTGTTCACCAGTCAATCGTTGCGAAACTCTTTTACACAATGTCAGGAGACGATAGTGTCGTTCGTGTTTCTTGTACTTTTTTCATTTGATGTAAATCCTCCATTCATCTGGCCATATGTTTCTGGTATCGATTGAATTTCACTTGTTGGTTCTGTGAAGTCCATCTTTGGTGTGCCACAGAATCTTTTGTGCAAGTAGTAGACTAGGAATCAATATGTATATATATATATTACAATGAAGGCAGAAATTATAAGCAGCCACAGAAGCTACTGTAGTAAGCTACTGTAGCTACTGTAGCTACCTTCCTAATATTAATACAAGGTAGATCCAGCTACTGTTTAATGTTTAACATAGTTTTTTAAACAGAAGTCTGTCAACAGTAACTCATCCTGGAAAAAATATATATTTGAAATAAAGATCAATATTTGCACTGCTTTGGGAATTTGACTGTCTTCTGATCATCCAGTGGGTTATAGGCTTTAATTTTATTATTTAATTTAGAATGTTGGCTTCTTCAGGCAATTCCCATGGTACCAATTCTCAGTTCTGACTGGACTGTACTTGGTGCAGCAGCTGAGGGAGTGGGGGAAGAATAGTTAAGTGACACTTTTGTACCTCTTTTATTCCGGGGTGGGGGGAGGAGTTATTGAGAAGGCAGCCTTATGGCTGTCTTTCATAATGTCTGGGTTGGAGGTATCTTCCCCTGGATAGAACTGGAACTTAAAATACCACCACCACCACCAGCACTGTCTGGCTAGTTTATAACATCATTAGCTCTCAATCTGCTTTAAAAGGAGAGCAGTATCATTATTCCCATTTTACAGATGAGGAAATCCAGGGAGATAGCTGTGAAGTGACTTAAGAGCAGCTGACCACTGGCAGATTGAGGACTAAAACCCAGGGCTCCTGACTCCCAAGCTAGTGCACTATCCATGAGATCACACTGTCTCCCCTTTTTAGCCCCCCCTTTATGCTGCTCTGGCTTTTATGTGGTGTAAAAAGGTAGGAAGAGGGATGAGGCTCTTACTTTAGCTACACTTTCAGCATATCTATCTATGGCCATTATCACAGTATCTGTGTATCTCACATTACCCTTAGAATATCCCTGTGAAGTATTATTCCCATTTCACAGATGGGGAACTGAGGCACAGAGTAGACTAGATGACTTGCCCAAGGTCACACAAAGTCTGTGGCCAAGCCAGAAACTGCATGCAGGTCACTCGAGTCCCAGTTCAGTGCCCTATCCAGTAAAACATCTTTCATACTGGAAGTAGAAAAGAGTAGCAGCAGGGGTAGGTATAGTTTATACTGTCCAGGTCCTGTATGGGCTGTTGCAACTGCTCAGAATAGTTGGAGTGCACTAGGTCCAGTCACATCTGTTCTGTGCTAGTGCACCTCCTTCCTACCCTGGTCATACCCTTGGCATGCCTTCTAGCGGATGTTCCTGAATTGAGGACATTCCCAGATGGCCAATTCTAGATGTTTAAAGCCCCGTTGTGCTGGAATAAAGCCAGCCAGAATGCAGAATTGAAGCCCATGTCTCCTATGTCCACAATGGGGACACATTATTTGGATTATCATTTAATATTGTATTTTTGTATTCCAAATTGTCTCATCTCTGGGCACCCAGGAATACATAATAATAATTAATAAAGCTATTAGTATAGTAGAAGATATCTGTGACTTACCTCCTACAAATATTAAAGCAAACACTATCTGGAAAATACTGTAGATGAGTGGAAAAGTAAACATCTGTGTAAGCTGTTCAGGGGTGAAGGAGAGCTGCACTATAGTTGTACACAGTTGAGTGTTCTGCATACCTGTTTCCAGAGCTACCGTACGACATCTAAAGGGAATGATAAAAAGAAAAAATTCATATGGTATCCTATTGTGCTAATGTACTTTGAAAGAATACAAATGAATGTAAGAGACATACAATCACAGATATCAGAGCAGAAAAGAACCATCTAGTTTACATAATCCAGTCACAGAACTCAATCAAATGTGAGCATTGGAAAGGACCCATTTCACAAATGTAGAGGGACTGCTGTAGTAATACAGGATTTTCTTCTTAACATCTTTCATGTGGTGAGATCTCATTGCCCACGCTTGGAAAATTGTCCAGTGAATTTAAGGTATGATTGTAAGCCCCTTAAAGTCAGCAGGAGTCTATGTATTTCATGGGCATTGTTAGTGACCCACAGCATATGACATATCCAAATGTTTGCAAATGACCTAGCATAGATTGATCAAGTAGAGGAAGACTGTAGGACGTAGCCACAAGGGTGGGATGAGGGGAATTTACTTAATGCCTAGTATGGGTATAACATACAAAAAGTGGAAACATGGATAAATGTCGAAGGATGCATACAAAAGAATGTCTCTACATGCTTGTGCTAATCAGAAAAGCTAAGGCACAAAATGAGTTACACCTAGCAAGGGATATAAAAGGCAATAAGTAGAGGTTGTATAAATACATGAGGAGCAAGAGAAAGATGAAGGAAAGTGTAGATCCTCTACTTAGCAGCAAAAAAGCTAATAACTGATGATATTAAGAAGGCTGTGGTGTTTAATACCTAGTTTGCTTCAGTCTTCACTAAAAAGGGTAATTCTGTCCAGATGCTTAAAACAATTAATATTAACATCAAGGAGAAAGTACTGGAAGCCAAAATGGGGAAAGAACAGGTTAAGGAATATTTAAATAAGTTAAATGTATTCATATCTGCAGGGCCTGATGAAATTCATCCTAAGGTACCTAAGGTTCTAGCTGAAGCCATTTCAGAACCATTAACAATGATCTTTGGGACCTCACCTGTCTTCCATGAGTTCTCAGAGAAGGACAAACATAGCACCAATCTTTAAAAAGGGGAACAAAGAGGATGCAGGTAATTATAGACCAGTTGGCCTAAGTTTGATACCTGAAAGATACTAAAGAAATTATTAAACCATCTCTCTGTAAGAACCTAGAGGATAACAGGGTTATAAGGAATAGCCAGCATGGATTTTTCAAGAACAAATCACGTCAAACAAACCTAATTTTCCTCTTTGACAAGGTTACTGACTTAGTGGAGCGGGGGGAAGCTGTAGACATAATATTTTGATGTTTAGTAAGGCTTTTGATGCAGTCCCACATGACTTTCTCATAAGCAATCTATGGAAATGTGGCTTGGAAGAAATTATGACAAGGTGAATGAAAAACTGGTTGGTTGACCAGATTCAAAGGATAGCTATGATTTGCTATCAAACTGAGGAATTCGATGGGGGTCAGTCCTGGGTCCAGTAGTGAATATTTTCATTAATGATTTGGATAATGCAGTGGAGAGTGTGCTTATAAAATCTGCAGATGACACCAGGCTGGCACTTAAGAGGACAGGATTAGAATTCAAAATTACTTGGACAAATTGGAGAAATAGTCTGACATCAACAAGATGAAATTCAGCTAAGACAAGTGCAAAGCATTACACTTAGGAAGAAAAAAAAATCAAAAGCACAACTACAAAATGGGAAATAAGTGGGTAGGTGGTAGCACTGCTGAAAAGGATGTAGATAGTAGATCTCAAATTGAATATGGGTCAACAATATGAAAAAGGCTAATCATTCATGTAAGGTAATTGTCCCACTCTACTGTGCACGGGTGAGGCCTCAGCTAGAGTATTGTGTCCAGTTCTGATTTCTAGTTTAGGGAAGATGTGGACAAATATGTATATGCAGGTGTGTAGGTGGTTGATATGCAATGATGGCTCCTGATTTGTCAATATTTGGGTGACCCACCGCTCTTCCAGCTGAAAGTCAGTCACAATGATAAGACCTTTATTGTGAAGGAAAAAGGCGGTTGCAAATGGGGGAAGACACCCTTCACTAAAACATCAGGCGCACAGACATCTGGGTTTCCTAGGGAACTCTACTGTATACCCAACCACTTTCAGGAAGGCTTTGTGGAACTATAGAATAGCCAGAAACCATAACGAAAAGTGTTCAGAACAAAAGTTTCACTTTCATGTATACACAAAGTTGTAGGCTCTGACTCCGTAACATAACTAGCTCTTAAGAGTGAGTTAGTGGTTAGTCACTAAATAAAAACATCATATGGGCCAATTTTCTTTTATGGCTGAAATAAGATTACACACACTATGTAACAGAGCAACCTCTACCTGTGCCAAGACTGACCAGCGACGCGAGCCAGAAGAAAACCTAGAGAATAGCCAGCAGCTGGAAATATGGTTCCAACGATCCACAGTTGAGGGCTGATAGTCCAGGATCCCTTGTACAATATTCCTCCAACCACAGCAATGATCAGTATAAGAGCTAGTCCAGTAATGGAACCTGCCTGAAGGGATTAAAAAGGGTTGTGTTTTAAAATAAACCTTGGCTAAATCAAGTAGACCAGCCATGATTTAATCACACACAAACATATCTTTCTTTTAATCACATTGAAATAAGTTTTACATATAAAAAGAAAGGGTTTACATTAATGGTTCACAAAAGCCGCATTAGATAGCGTGAAAGCTAGCTGCCAATTCTCAAAAGGCCAAGTATCCATTGCTCTAGGGGCAGCCTCTCTGGAGGTCCCAGCGTTCTTCTAACTGGTCTGCCTCTATTCATTTCAAATTAGCCTAGTCCATCAACTTAACTTAAAATGAGTCAATCAGCCCCTAAACCAGGGATCGGCAACCTTTGGCACGTGGCCCACCAGGGTAAGTACACTGGCGGGCAGGGCCAGTTTGTTTACATACTGCATCCATAGGTTCAGCCAATCGCAGCTCCCAATGGCCGCGGTTTGCTGTCCCAGGCCAATGGGGGCTGCGGGAAACGATGCGGGCTGAGGGATGTGCTGGCCACCACTTCCGCCTCTAAACTCTAGCGCTTGCAGTCTTCCTTTGTCTCCCTGTCAGTTTCTTACTGCTGGTCTACATTACAACTTAAGTTGATGTAACATCTCTCAGGGGTGTGAAAAAGACCTCCCCCCCAACACCCGAGTGACGTAAATTACATCTACTTAGGTGCTGTTTACACCGCACTATGTTGGCGGGAGACACTACCATTGACATTGCTTCCATCTCCTGCGGAGGTGGAGTAATTATGCTGATTGGAGACTTCCCCCATCCGCATAGCATATCTTTAACAGACGTGCTACAGCAGCACAGCTATGCTGATGTAGTGTAGACTTGCCCTTAGAAGCATCCTGGTGTTGGGCTGATACCCTTCTACCATACCAGGCCTTTCTGCCTTCCTCCCACCCTCTGTTCTGCTCCATTTATAGATGGATTTGTTTTCCCAGCTGTGGGTGCTTGCCTCCATGACTGGTAGTTCTGTCAGCTGTACGGTGTATGGTTAGCTTGGTTTCCTGTAAGTGGGGAATACTCTGTTCTCCTTTCTGGCTATGCTCAGTATGGGGTTTGTGAACCCTATTACATCAAGATATGCTGAAACAAGGTATTAGGATATATAATTGTAAGATCTGCAGTTAACATAAAAGCAATGTATGGGGACACCAGGAAATCCTTTGGGTCAAAATTTTAACATCACTTTAAATTCTTACTGCAATAGTCTCCAAAGGAATGATTGTCTTTGACAACTTATATTTACAACATTTTTTTCTTTTCTTATTTTTTGTAGTACTGAACACTGAATTTAGGTCCTTGTGATGGGATGTATGGAGATCCCATCCTGTGTTTGGCAGAGAAAAGGCTAAATCTCTTCCTGAGGAGAAATTCTGCCCCGATGGCATATACTGTCAGAGAACACTTGGGGTTTATGTAGCTGGACTCAGGTGGAGTGAATTATTCAACCATAGAGACTATGGGGCTGACCCAGCTCTGATTGAATTCAATGGAAAGACTGATTTCAATGGTCTTTGGCCCAGGTCCACAAGAATAGTGAGTTGATGTGGATGTTCTTGCTTTGGTTTGGAATGAGCTAATAACCAGATTATTCTAGGGAAGAAAAATGTGTCCAGCTGTGCAAATCTGGTTTGATTTCATTCTAGTAAATTCTAGTTGTGCCCCTTCCCCCCCTATTTGAACCAAACCTTGTCAGCTTTGTCTCCTTCATCTTGCCCTTGACCTATACTTGACCCTTCATTGGCCTACACAAAGCAAACTGTGCATGTGTACTATTTATTGTGCACCTTCTGTTTATGTGCAGGATGTAAACATGTCTGAAAGTTGAAACTTCCATTTATTGCTGCCAAGATATTTAAAAAAAAAGAAAACTACCAGTTTTAATACGCAATTGTCAAGTCTTTTGGGTCCAAAAATATACCATGTCCAAGTTTATAAATAAGCTATGAGTAGATTTTGATATACAGCACAGTAAATGAATATGTTAAGAAAATGAATTTGACATAAAGAGAAACATTACATTGAGCTCTAATATCACTGAAAGGATGACAAATATTAAGGGGAATAACTATTCACCAAAAAGGATTATTTTAATGAGAAAATATGTATACTAATTAATGATGATCAGTGGGAGTTGAGGGTACTCAGCATCTCTCAGAAGCAATGAGAACCTTATAGGATAGGATCCATAATCCATTTCAATTAATACCAAATCACATGTGAAATCACTGAACAATGGTGATTTATAATGGTGTATGCAACGCGCACACATTTGTACAGGATTAGAGCAACATGTTGCTAGATGGGGAACTTCATTGCTATCATGAAGCTAGTTACTGATATTATTTGTTGTGAGTAGAAACATAGTGTTTGAGTAGTCCCATTGAAGCCATAACTTGGCCACAATGAGCAATGGTTCAGATCAGTATATGAAAGTTTCATATCTTACCTTAAGTATAATTTTAGCTTTCTGGGGCCATTTGTGATTAACAAATATTCCAACTGAAACAGGAATTACAAGGGCTACCAGTGAAATACCTGAAAATAAGAACAAATGACATTTAACAGAGAACAGTCATGATAAGAAAACAGACACTGAACAGTGAGAATATGTTTAAATAGCAGGTGTCTGTAGGTAAGTCTCTGGTTATATCCACAGACATCCATACACAGAGAGTAATGTAAAGTATAAGAGTATGAATTGTACTATCTTCAGAAACCTTGTGAGGTATTTGTAGTGACATATATATTCAGCAGGGTAAAAAAGCATACAGCAATTTTAGTGTGGTGTACCATGTGTTTCCTGTAGTATTAAACGTGCATTTTGCCTGCAGGTGTTTCTACTGTGCCATAGCAGCACTCATATTAGTGCTTCTTATGTTGTGGGCATTTGTCCCAATGCTGATATTAAGAACACAAATGGTTTACATGACTCTCTTTTGGAGCTGAAATTTAAGTATATGAAGGTGACTACACTGGTGTGTAGGGAACAGATTCTGGAACCTAAACCAGTGGGCATTAAGGGCTGAATCCTAAATACACGAGTAGTCCTATTGACCTCAAGTATTCAGTTGTCATTCTTTTTTTGTCTGGCCAGGTGAGGTTTCATGTGTTGAATCAAATTAAGTTCCACCCCGTCGGTGGTGCCCTTTGTCTACTGCTTTAGGTTTCAGATGTGCAACCTAACTTAAATCTGAGCATGTGCTTAAGTGCATTGCTGGATCAGGGCCACAGCACTCAGCACCTTGCAGGCCTATGCCCTACAGCCATTACGAAAATGGCACAGATATTTAGCCAAAAATAGGGCAAATCTCTATATCTGTTTTTTTTCTATATCCTTACAACATCTCCACAAAGGATATAGAGATTTGTTACTCCACGGTACATATCTGTACTATTTTTATAAATAGTACAGATAGTAATGGCTGTAGGGATCTATCCTGTAAGGTGCTGAGTGCCCTAGTTTCTGTCAGAATGGATACTGTAGACTGCTGGTACAAAGATAGTTGCTTCCAAAAGGAGAAAGATATGAGAGAGAGAGAGAGAGAGAGAGAAAACATTGATTTGACTCACCTATACTGTCATAGGGGATTACGATGGACTCAGTGTCTGTCCACATTTTGGTATAGATAAAGAGACAAAGTGGCATCATCCCCAGTGCAAGCAACGTTGAACATGTTGTCATACTGATACTGCAAGGAAATTGGCAAAAGTTATAGTTCATTTCATGCTCTCCAACAGAGTCTCCCACTTTCTTATTGCAATTTAATAATTTATGAAAAATGGTGAAAGAAATTCTACTGGCTGCAGTCAATTTATCCTGCATATTAATTCACAAAAAAACTAAATTGAAGAAATGTTAGAGTGCCAGGTTATCCTGAAAAAAATATGAACTATTTCCAGTTAAGATGGAATCTTCACTTTAAACTATTCTGTTGTGCCTAGGGCTACATCTACACTACAAACTAGGGGTGTTATTCCCAGCTCGTGTATGCACACTTGTGCTAGCTCTCATCGAGATAATATGAGTATAATTCGTAGTGTAGCTGCAGTAGTACAGGCACTGGTGGCACAGCTTAGCTGTGCTGAGTACAAACCTGCCTGAATCCTGTGGGTACGTACGTGGTGTGGCTAAGTTGCAGCTACACTGCTATTTATATTTGTGCTGGCTCTCCTCAAGCGAGTGCAAGTATTTGTAAATGAGGTAGGAACTTGACCCGTACCCCTAGTGCAGATGTAGCCTAGGCGAGCTAAAGGGTATGGTTAACTGACTGGGAGATTATCTGATGGGGATTCACGCTGAATTAAGCATGTGGAGGTGATGGGAGCAGAGAGACCCGGTAAGCTTTATGTACTCCCATCTTTGGTCCAGATTCTGCCACCTTAGACTCACTAAATCAATAAGACTACTCATGGTGTAAAGTACTACAGAAACTGGCTCTTAATTGCTAGAGCACTGTGCTGGAATTGGCTCTTTGTAAGTTTCTAACTAGAATAAACCTTGTGTCTAATTATTTTTATCTGGGGAACCTTGATTTGGCTCCTTTCCCATGCTACTGCAGCTTATTTACCATTAGTAATAATATACAGCTGTTCATCAGTAGCTCCCAAATTCCTTTATAAAGGAGGTAAGTAGTATTAGTCCAATTTTACTGAAAGGAGGCATAAGAGAAGTGATGTGATTTTTTTTCCCCCAAGGTCAAACTGCCGGCTATGGAACTGGGAATAGAACCAAGGACTCTGAGATCATAGAATCATAGAATATCAGGGTTGGAAGGGACCTCAGGAGGTCATCTAGTCCAACCCCCTGCTCAAAGCAGGACCAATTCCCAACTAAATCCTCCCAGCCAGGGCTTTGTCAAGCCTGACCTTAAAAAACTCTAAAGAAGGAGGTTTCACCACCTCCCTAGGTAGCCCATTCCAGTTCTTCACCACCCTCCTAGTGAAATAGTTTTTCCTAATATCCAACCTAAACTTCCCCCACTGCAACTTGAGACCATTACTTCTTGTTCTGTCATCTGCCACCACTGAGAACAGCCGAGCTCCATCCTCTTTGGAACCCCCCTTCAGGTAGTTGAAAACAGCTATCAAATCTCCCCTCCTTCTCTTCTGCAGACTAAACAATCCCAGTTCCCTCATCCTCTCCTCATTAGTCATGTGCTCCAGCCCCCTAATCATTTTTGTTGCCCTCTGCTGGACTCTTTCTAATTTTTCCACATCCTTCTTGTAGTGTGGGGCCCAAAACTGGACACAGCACTTCAGATGAAGCTCCCCAATGTCGAATAGAGGGGAATGATCACGTCCCTTGATCTGCTGGCAATGCCCCGACTTATACAACCCAAAATGCCATTAGCCTTCTTGGCAACAAGGGCACACTATTGACTCAAATCCAGCTTCTCGTCCACTGTAACCCCTAGGTCCTTTTCTGCAGAACTGCTGCCTAGCCATTCTGTCCCTAGTCTGTAGCAGTGCATGGGATTCTTCCATCCTAAGTGCAGGACTCTGCACTTGTCCTTGTTGAACCTCATCAGATTTCTTTTGGCCCAATCCTCTAATTTATCTAGGTCCCTCTGTATGCTATCCCTACCCTCCAGCGTATCTACCTCTCCTCCCAGTTTAGTGTCATCTGCAAACTTGCTGAGAGTGCAGTGCACGCCATCCTCCAGATCATTAATGAAGATATTGAACAAAACTGGCCCCAGAACCGACCCTTGGGGCACTCCGCTTGATACCGGCTGCCAACTACACATGGAGCCATTGATCACTACCCATTGAGCCCGACGATCTAGCCAGCTTTCTATCCACCTTATAGTCCATTCATCCAGCCCATACTTCTTTAACTTGGCGGCAAGAATACTGTGGGAGACTGTATCAAAAGCTTTGCTAAAGTCAAGGAATAACATATCCACTGCTTTCCCCTCATCCACAGAGCCAGTTATCTTGTCATAGAAGGCGATTTAGGTTAGTCAGGCATGTGAAGGCAATTAGGTTAGTCAGTTAGATCAGCATCAGTACCTTCACCATGGAACCACACTGCCTATCTAATACCATGTAATATTTCAGATCTTGTAACTTGACCCCTTTGCTACCTAGGTGCAAAGAGAGAAATTAAGGGGGGAAATGTCAGCCCGAAGTGTAGGCTCAACTATAAATAAGCAGTTTTTTTCTGGTTAATATTAATGTAAGGTATTGTTTTATAATTTCCTTTCTTTAAATACTAGAAATATGAAAAGAAATCAGAAAGATCTCCCATAGAATCAGCGGGAGCTAAGAGACACACTTCAGCTAATAGCTGTGTACTGTCTTTAATTATTAAAATCGACACCATCTTGTTACTTGGTAGATTATGACAACACTGCTTCTGGTAAAAAAAGTCCTTAGACCAGTTTAAAAATATACTGTCCATGGGGTACTCATAGGAATTTCCAGAATATTATTTATTTATGTATATAGCACCTTGGGTTCTTTGGAAGACAGAAGTCAATCTAAAGTCTTTGTTCCCAAAAGCTTCTAATTTGGGAACTTGATCTAAAGCTCTCTTTGACTTCGGATCAGGCCCTAAATAGCCAATGTGCAAACAAAGGCCTTGTTCCTGCAACTTGATGTGTAAGGGTGGACCCCTGTGTCCTCGGGGGCCCCACTGAAGTTATTGGGGCTCCACACAAGTGTCAGGGGTCTCTCCATGTTCATCACATTGCACGATTGAGGCCAAAGGATGGAGGATGGGTTCAGTGAAAATCAGTGCAGTTGAATAGTAACGATTTGCATGAGTCTTATTGCTTCCTTATTTGTTCCTGGATCTTTCTGTTTTTAAATGTGAAGGCTTTAGAAGTTGTTCTTTCTGTTTAAGACATTCAGTCATTTGGTTAATCAACACTGCAGTGTGGGGAGGATTGATAGGCTTTGTCAAAGAGATGTGACTACCACTGGGGTGAAGATGTAGAGGGAAAAGGTAGGTGGGTAACAAAGAGAATCTCAGGCACATGGGCAATGTAGATAAAGGCCTGGACCTAAATTCCTTCTCCTATGGTAACCCCATGGAAGACAACTCTAGGACAGAAATCTGAATGTGTCCCTGACTGTGCCAACAGAATAGGCCATGGGGGCTTTCCTCCAAACATGGGGGATCCATGAGAAGTCAGGACCATACATGTGGAAGCCCTATGCTTTCACATTGACTCTGGCCCTTCACTTTAGCCCTTTGGCTATGGCTGCCCAGAGGCTCCAGTTGGAGGGTTCCATGTAAAAGATGGAGTTGGGCCTTGGGCTTTGTTACAGGGGATGATATGGGTTTACCTCTCCGTTGGCCAACCCACTCTTCCTCAAAGTCTGTCCCTTTTCTGCCTCAACTCCCTTGCCCCAATAGAGGAGGAGGGATGTCTGCAGCAAGAGGGGATTCTCTGTATATAGATTGAGAGGGCAAGGTCACTGGCCCATCTCCTGACCTCCCTCATGCCCATTTTCACCCCCGTCTTTGCCTTTCTCCCTAACCTCTCTTCTCTGGTTCTTTCTCCTCACAATACAAGCATGCTTTCATCTTTCCTATCTTAAAAATCCTACCCAGGCCTCTCCAACTATCACCTCATCTCAGTCTTCCTCTTTAAGCTCATTGAAACTGTTTGTGATCATTGTTGGAGCTGTTCTCCTCCACTTCCTTCCTCAACCCTCTCCAGGCCAGCTTCTGCCCCTTGCACTCAACGGAAACTATTCTCACAAAAGTCTCTAATATCCTTTTCCTAGCTAAGGCTCAGAACAAGTATTCCAGCCTCATTCCTTGCTTTGTCAGCTGCTTTTGACGCAGTCAGCCATGATATTTTTGAAAACTTGCCCTCCTTTGGCTTTTGTGACTGTCTTCTCTTGGTTCTCCTCTCTCTTTAATCGTTCCTTTGGCATGTCCTTTGGAGGATCCCCTCATCCCCTCTCCAGCTTTCTGTTGGGGCTCCACAGGGCTCTGTCCTTGGTCGTCTTCTCTTCTCCCTCTGCACTTTGGCTCTGAGTAATCTCATCCACAAACACAAATTCACCTAATATCTTTATGCTGACAACTTACATCTCTACCCCTGATCTGTCTTGTGCTGTCTGAACTATTATTGTGGCATGTCTCTTTTACGATATCTTGTGGATTTCTAGACATCATCTCAAGATAAATATGGCTAAAACAGAGCTCTTCATCTTCCCCTTCAAATCCTTCCACCACCTCCTTTCTCAATCACTGCAGACAACGCCACTATCCTGTCTGTCACTCAGGCCTGTAACCTCTGCATCATCTTTGCACCTCTAAAGATCCTCTCATGTCTAAATCTTGCAGATTCTTTCTTCATTGCATCTCTAAGATATTGCCTTTCTTACCCATCCAGGTTGCTAAAACTCTCATCTAGACGTTCATCATCTCCATGTATCAATTACTGCAACATCCTTCTCTCTGGTCTTGACAAATGCAATCTTGCCCTGCTCATAACCATTTGGAATGCTGCTACAAAGTTTATTTTCCTAGCCTGTAGCTTTGACCATGGTACACCTCTCTTTGTATCCACCCACATCAAACATAAGTTGCTTGTCTTCACTTTCAAGACCCTCACAGCCTATCTCCCTTTTACATATCTCGCATTCACTCTGGCCTGTGATTGGCCTATGATGCCAGTCTCCATTGCCTATTTTCAAACAAGCACTGTCATGCCTTTTCCATCATGCTTGGGAAGTGCTCCCCGTTAACATCCACAAAGCTACCTCATTATCCCCTGTCAAAGCCCCCCTTAAAACTCTCTTTTTCATGATGCCTAAAAAACCCTTGATAAGCCGCTGAGTGTTCAATGGTATGTCGACTACTTTCTATTGTGCTGACCAACATTGTTTCTTTGTACACACTTGTCTCTATTCATCTGTTGTCTCTTGCCTTATACTTTGATTGTTAGCTCTTTGGAGTTGGGACCATTTTTTTGTTCTGTTTGTACAGCAACTAGCACAGTGGGGCCCTGGTCCATGACTGGGGCTCCTAAGCATTATGGTAATACAAATAAATAATCATAATTCTATAATAAGGGTGATCTTCTGAGGAAGGTATAAACTCACTCTGAGTATGTCATGAACAGAAATTTATTTCTGCCCCCAGCTGGTGATCAGCTTACACCCTTAAGTAAGACTTAGAATGCAATGGCCCTTTCACACGTGGGGTGGTCTGTTGTGTAAACAAATAAAATATCATCTATTTAAAGGCCCGCCACTCGTGTGGTATGACACGCAGGATTTTTACAATGCAGTGCTGGCTGCAATATTTTCCTTCATGTGGTCATTCTTCTACCAAGCATGAGGATTCCTACATTGTTCCCTACTTTACACAACCCTCATCCTCAAGGCCCTGAGTAATGGTCGCTGTGGGTATGTCTACACTGCAATGAAAGACCCGCAGCTGGCCTGGGTCAGCGGACTCGGGCTCGTGGGACTTGGGCTCCAGGGCTAAAAACTTGGACTCAATGCCACGGTTGTGGTTTGTTTTTTGCAGTGTAGATATACCCTAAGGGCCTGATCAAAAGCCCATTGAAGTCTCAGGGTTAAAGTCTCTACCTGAAGAATACTCCCTTTGTAGGCATTTATCTTTCCCTTTGCAAGGGTCATAGAAGTTTCCTCTCTCAAATTAAAGGCCAGATCCTATGCTTATTTACATCAGTGTCAATCCAGATTAATGTCCGTGACTTCAATGGAGTTATTCTGAATTTACACTGATGTCAGTGAAGGCAAGATTTGGCCCTACATACACTGTTCCACCCAAGTAAAATGGGTTGAGACCAAAACAGAATTTCAGCCTTTTTTGCTGAATTTCCTTCCCTTTGTGGTTTTGCCCGATCAGTGCTTTACTGAAATAAAGTACTTGGCAATTTATAATATTTCTAGGTCTTCTCTCCAAGGCAAGAAAACTGGTGATTAGCACAGTTGATTACATACTGTATTAAAAACCACATATTACATTAACACCTGTATGTTACAAAGAAATTCACTGTTTGCAGTGTGGTAATGCAGTAAGGCATTTTGCCTTATTAAAACCACAAATATTAAAATTCTTCATCTATGCATCTTAGCTCCCCATCTTTCTTACTTCTATTAGTTTTTCCATTGCTAGTTCAGACTGGCATATGATGAAGTAGACACATGCTGTAATTTATGTTACTCTGTGGGAAGTAGAGAAACTTTTCTGTTTATTTTAGAACAAGGTAATCAGTTTTTTAAAAAATATTGCTCTTTTTTAGAGGCTGTTAGAGCTAAATGATGGAAAAAATAAGTGTCTTGGGATTTGCATCAAGAGCAGCGTTCACCTTGAGTACATATTTGATGTCCGCAAACATGCCAGCTGCCTGACACATCACAATTTCTGACTTTACAGCATCTTGAAGTTGCTGCCAAGTGACCTGCCACTGAGATCATCACACTCACAAAGAAGCGTTTTGATTGCAACCAGTAAGTAGGCTATGGCTTATATCCTACAAAACACTCTTTGAAAACTTTGCATGTGTGCCAGATGCATACAGAATTGTTACAAATGAATTTGGATCCTGGATAAAAGCTTTGCAATTCTATCCATTGTGAAGAACACATAGGTGGATAAATATTTTTCCACTGGTGATTTCTTTAACGAGACATTAGAACAACAATTGATTATAGACCTTTGTTTATAAAGTTAATTGTTATGAAATCTATATTGCAGTAGTCCCTAGAAGCCTCAACCAGGTCAGAGATCCATTGTGCATGGAACTGAACAGATACATAAAGTAGTAAATAATAATACTTCACTCTTATACAGCAATTTTCATCAGTAGAACTCAAAGTATTTCACAATCGTTAAGGTATTTATCCTCACAACACCCCTGTCAGTTAGGGAAGTACTATTATCCTAGTTTTTACAGATGAGGAACTGAGATTCAGAGAGGCTAAGTGATTTGCTCAAGGTCAGACAAAAAATCTGACAGAAAAGAAAACTTAACCTGGGTGTCCCAAATCCTATGCTACTGCACTAAACACTGACCCATCCTTCCTTTCTGCTCCAAAGAGATTTATGGATAATTTTAAAAAGAAAGTAATTCCTTTAGAGAAGTGATGCTCTTACCTTAGGTCCATGTCCCCATCTAGCCAATATGCTAGAATGTTGGAAGATGTTCCACCTGGACAGCATCCCATGATCAGCACAGCAACAGCTTGAGCAGGAAGCACATTAAAAACGAGTGACAGCACAAAGCCTGTCAAAGGCATAATTCCAAACTGACAGAGGAAGCCCACAAATATGCCCCATGGCTTTTTTATGTGTCCCCAGAATTTTTTTATGTTCACATTGCAGCCCATGGAGAACATCACCAATGCCAACAAGATTGTTAGGACAGTACTTAAAACTACATTCAAAACTTGGTTAAAATTGTCATCAGGTATAACACACGAAGTGCTGTTGCAAATGGTGGCATTTGCAGAACAGTATGAAATATTTGTGGTTGAGTTTGTTGTCATCATCTTGAAGTTGCCAAAATTAAATTTCTCAAAGTCACTATTGCTGTGTTTTAAAATAAAGAAATTCTCATTTCATCCAAGTCAAACTTTTAAGCTCTCTGTAAATGCTCTTCTCTTGGTAGCTCTTTTTAAATGACATGAGAGGCAATAAAGAGCAATAAATACTTGAACTCAGTTTCTACCAGTTTAGGGTCTAGTATTGTGCTGAGTCACAAAGGTATATATAATTGGTGCTATCTTATTGAACCGGCAAACTTTTAATTAATCATTTATTCATGCCATAATGTTCAGTTCCACACCAGAAGAGCAATCGTGTTAATATTTAAAAGAGATGAGATCCACAGGAGTGGTCACGTCAAGGCTCCAATCTTTCCATTTCTTGCATGAGGTTGGACTGCTCCCCCTGCACAGAACCCCTTTGAAGTCAATGGGGTTCGGGAATGGTGAGCAATCCTCTTAAGTATGAGAAACTGCAGGTTTAAAACCCATGGATTGAACTTACTACACAGTATGCACAATACTACATTTTGGGGGAGCTAGGGGTATTGCTTTAAGAATAACAGGTACTTTTTGTGTGTATGTGTACAACTATCATCACTGGAAACTCGCATACAAAATACCCATTGTTTCAATAGGTTCTGTAGCAGTTATGCAGAAATGAAACCAGAACAAACTAAGGCCCTTATCCTGCACTGAGAATGTTGTGGGCAGGGCTCTGCACTAAGTGCAAACAAAATCAGCGAGGCTGAATCTGGGCGGAATTAGGGACTAAACATTTTGCTCAAATAAAAATTAGAAATGAAGGCCCTGATGATGCAAATACTCCTGTATGTACTCATTGGTTCCTTGTACTCCCCCATCTGTCTTCATCTATCTGGAGTCTTGTCTTATACTTAGATTGGGGCAGCACAACTGGGGAGTTGGAGGTGGGATAGCATTCCCACAATGGAAATATTGTGGGGGCTCTGCCACTGTATAAGTTTATGCACACCTGGGCGGTCAGTATGGAGGCAAAGTGGCTGTGGGACCCAGAAAGGCTGAAGTGGCTGCCCCGGGGCCCAGGATTAAGCCAGAGAGTTGGACCTGTGGAGGCTGGAATGGGCCAGGTAGGAAACCTTGACACCTTCCCAGTCTGGAGACCGTTCCCCCACACCTAGTGTCAGTACTGCCCTTCACTCCCACTCCTGTCATTCCACCCTCTCATTTGCAGGGATCTTCTTCCGCCCCCTCTTACTTAGATGATATGCTCTTTGGCATAGGGAACATCTTTTTACTCTGTACAATGCCCAGTGTAATGGAACCCTAGTCCATGACTAGGGCTCCTAGGTGCTATAATACAGATAATAAATTTTAATAATAATTTTGTTCACATGAGTAGTTCCACTGAAGCCATTGGGGTGACTCTATGTAAGTGCTTTGCTGGAGGTAGGCTGTAAGCATTTATCACATTGTATGGCTCATTGCAATCGACTTGCATTGCACAATAGAAAAGTTTGCCTCATTAATCACTGTGTTTCTCATGTGATGTCAAAGGGTGTGAGAGCCCACACTAAGGCTTTTAATGACTAAAATCTATAAAAATAAATGCTAAGATAGATAAATGCTAGCTTTTAAGGTCAAAATTTGCATGTCTTACTCATGTGAGTAGAGACTTTAGTTGGTTTGCTTGCATGAATAAGAGCTACAGGATTGAGCCTTGGTTTTTATCACTGCATAGTGTGGCAAAAATATAGCACACTTTTTTAAAGAGCTCCACGTGGCTCCTGGCTCCCTACACACCTGTGGCATGTCATCTCTCTTTATCCCCAGCCTCCCTGCCTGGAATCTGCTTCCCCCTCCTACCTTTACCTCTCTGTGGAGTTACTATTTTTAATTTTATTTATGGGTAGATGTTTGTATGATACTTAGCCTCACAAACATTAATGTATTAAATCTCTCAATATCTCTTTGAGGTGGCTATTGTTATCCTATGTTGTAGATGGGGAAACTGAAGCACGGAGAGGTTAAGTGACTTCCCCATGTCAAGCAAGAAGTCAATAGAAAAGCTGGAAATAGCACGCAGATCCCTGACTCCCAGTGCTGTGTTCTAAGCTCAGGAACATTTCTAAAGCCCATAAGACGAGCTGGGTGATTTTTTTGGACAAATAGCTCATGTGCTGCAAAATGCACTTGTGGTCAGCCAAAACTATTCATGAATTTGCTGAATAGTTTTGGCCAAAATAATTTTTTGGTGGACTTAGGTGCTATCCCAAAATAGCCACAAGGGAGCCACAGCCTCCCTTATATTTTTTAGGCTGGTGGTTAACTGTGCTAACTAATCTGAATTGAGATCGCAGTCCAAGAGCTGCTTTTTCATCTTAAAGTTTCTATGTGTGTGTGTGTGTGTGTGTGTGTATACGTACATTTGCTAGGGAGGTGGTATATTTGAAGTATAAGGAGTGGTTGATGTCCAGAAAACATTTTATTATTCAGTATAGAAACACTTCATGTCATAACTACCTCAAACACGCGAGGCTCCCCATCAGGAAAACCTTAGTGTTCCACTCAGAGCCCTGGCTTTTAAGATGCCTTCTCATCTTTCTATTTGATGGATTGTTTAGCACTGAGGTCCTTAGTCTGGGCCTGCCCTTTGAAAAGCCTGTCCCAGTATGCTCTGCCGGTAGCAGATTCTTTAAATTTGGAGCAGATGAACAACTGCAGTTCTAAAGTGGCCAGTTTGCTACTGACTATTGCAGGCAGCACAGTCCTCCTAAGAAGCTGGGAAGTATATTTGCTGCTGTTTCCCTCCACTTTTTCTTCTTGTATGCCTAATGGGGTGTATATGCTCATAAATACAAGTACATATACATAAAAGGTTGTTACAAGGAAGAGGGAGAAAAATTGTTCTTCTTAACCTCGGAGGCTAGGACAAGAAGCAATTGGCTTAAATTGCAGCAAGGGCGGCTTAGGTTGGACATTAGGAAAAACTTCCTAACTGTCAAAGTGATTAAGCACTGGAATAAATTGCCTAGGGAGGTTGTGGAATCTCCATCATTGGAGATTTTTAAGAGCAGGTTGGACAAACACCTGTCAGGGATGGTCTAGATAATACTTAGTCCTGCTCAAGTGCGGGCAACTGGACTAGATGACCTCTCGAGGTCCCTTCCAGTTCTATGATTCTATGATATAGAAGTATAAAACCAATGAAGTGGATACAAGTGGTCAGGTTTTATTGGGATGAGTTTGGGATGGACATATTACTCAAGGGGCAAGGTAAGAAACCAGCTGTTTATTGTATATGATGGGTAATCAAAATGAATAGGCAAAAACACCATTTGGGAAAAAGTGATTCTTTTCTTTGCATTTTTTTCTTGCATTTTGGAGACACTATGAACTAGATAACTTCCCTGTACTCCTGTGGGTGGAGGGGATTTTGATCTGGTAGGTCTCAATTAGGTTTCCAAATAAAGGGGGTTTATCAGGTGTACAATCCCAGCCAGTGGAGACTTCTCTGTGTGGGATTAAGCTCTGAGAGGTTTACAGACTAGGATCCTCTCTCTATGCTACTCTCCCATTTCTAGGCAATGGCTATCCATGTTGTTACCTGGGCTGTGACTGAAATGGTATTATCTGGATGCCTCCTAAAGGATCCTGCTGCTTTGAGAATGACCAAAGATCTATTAAAAAGAACAGGAGTACTTGTGGCACCTTAGAGACTAATAAATTTATTTGAGCATAAGCTTTCGTGGGATACATCCCACTTCTTAGGATGCATAGAATGGAACATATATTGAGGAGATATATATACACACACATACAGAGAGCATGAACAGGTGGGGGTTGTCTTACCAACTCTGAGAGGCCAATTAAGTAAGAGTAAAATAACTTTTGAAGTGATAATCAAGATAGCCCATTACAGACAGGTTGATAAGAAGTGTGAGAATACTTAGATGGGGAGATAGATTCAATGTTTGTAATGGCTCAGCCATTCCCAATCTTTATTCAAACCTAAATTGATTGTGTCTAATTTGCATATCAATTCGAGTTCAGCAGTTTCTTGTTAGTCTGTTTTTGAAGCTTTTCTGTTGTAAAATAGCCATCCGCAAGTCTGTCATTGAATGACCAGACAGGTTAAAGTGTTCTCCCACTGGTTTTTGAGTATTATGATTCCTGATGTCAGATTTGTGTCCATTAATTCTTTTGCGTAGAGACTGTCCGGTTTGGCCAATGTACATGTCAGAGTAGTATTGCTGGCACATGATGGCATATATCACATTGGTAGATGTGCAGGTGAATGAGCCCCTGATGTTATGGCTGATGTGATTAGGTCCTATGATGATGTCACTTGAATAGATATGTGGACAGAGTTGGCATCGGGTTTTGTTGCAAGGATAGGTTCCTGGGTCAGTGTTTTTGTTCAGTGATGTGTGGTTGCTGGTGAGTATTTGCTTCAGGTTGGGGGGTTGTCTGTAAGCCAGGACAGGTCTGTCTCTCAAGATCTGTGAGAGTGAGGGATCATCCTTCAGGATAGGTTGTAGATCCTTGATGATGCGCTGGAGAGGTTTTAGTTGGGTGCTGAAGGTGACAGCTAGTGGTATTCTGTTATTTTCTTGGTTGGGCCTGTCTTGTAGGAGGTGCTCGTCTGGCTCTGTCAATCTGTTTTTTCACTTCAGCAGGTGGGTACTGTAGTTTTAAGAATGCTTGATAGAGATCTTGTAGGTGCTTGTCTCTGTCTGAGGGATTGGAGCAAATGCGGTTGTATCTTAGAGCCTGGCTGTAGACAATGGATCTTGTGGTGTGTTCTCCTCCACAGGACTCTGGATACCCTTCCCCATGATTCCTAGGGATCTTTGTGGGTGGAAGATTGTGCCTCTCTTTCATTCATACATCTACTGAGGCAACAATTTGAACTACTGATTAGATCACTTATATGGCTTTTTAATAAATTTTTTTGTCATTGTCCCATTTAGACACAATAGTTTTACTTCTGAGGATAATGAGGTAAAAGGCTAAGGTTTGTTAGTATCTGCTAATAAATATTAACCCTTTTAGTTCTTTCTCTTTGTATATTTTCATTCATTTATATATCAACTAATCCTAATAATCTTTATCTTCATCAAAGAGTGTGTCTGAATTCTAAGGCCCAGAATACTGATCCTTGAACGATAAGTAATTCTATTCAGGAATTTTCTCCATTATGCTGTACTTT